CCGCCTTGGGCTTCCCGACAGTCCTGTATGGTGCTCCCCCTCTTTGGGGCTCGCCGTGCCCACCTTGGGCTTCCTGATAGAATCACCCCACTCTCTGGGGCTGGGGTCTACGTACCCCGCACACAACCCGGGGTCTGTGTCCCCCGTCCGCAACCCACTGGTTGCGCTCCTCACAGCCAGCTGCACCCGCCCTGGTGCTAGACTGCACCCCACTGGTGCTAGGGCCCCCTGCACTCTCCGGGGTCCCTATGCGAACACTGCGCCCTCCTCGGGCGCTGGGGCCCCCCACACTCTCTAGGTTCCCTATGAGGATACTGCACCCTCTTGGCACTAGGGCATCCCACACTCTCTGGGGTCCCTATGAGGCCTCCTCCAACCCCTACAGCCTCACCCAAGCCTCCAGTTGTAATACAAACACTAACCAAACAAAACATAAGCTGCCTGGCTGCAACAATATAGCTCCTGCGCCGCAGAGCCACCATCTTTCAGCCTGCTCAAGCATTACTCATATCTTAGCCCCGTAAGCTCCTGCCTCTCTGGCTGCTGGCAGGAAACTACCAGCCTAGCCTCAGCCCTGGGCTTTATAAGGGCCAGGCCCTACCTCCTACAGGCAGCTGGCTCCCCTTAGTTGCTCCAGCAACCCGCAGCTGCGCTTGTTATCCTGGCAACCCTCAGCTGGGCTCCTTGTGCTCTGCCAGGGCTCTCTCCCTGGCAGTTTTCTCCTCTCTAGGAGCAGGAACTAAGGTGCCCTGTGACATAGACAAAGAACATTTTCCCAAAGCATCCCATATATTTGTATTTTTCCATTTGATCCTCAGGGATCATGTATATATTATACATAACTTCCTCCCTGTAGATATCTGTCTGTTCAGCTAGGTGTTACTACTGATTTCCAATTATTTTTAAAACACATATAGAAATAGTTACAGTCTTTCAGACAGATAAACTACTACATGTGCTTCACTGGTCATCAATTATTCAAGAGATTTAAGGAGCGTCTGCACATCACCCTATGGCATGTTGTGGCGGTGTAGCAATCACATGACTCTGTGATCGGCAACAATGTCACCACAGCAGTGCACTCCCCCGGTATAGCACATTGCCATAATGATGTAGCAGCAAAATCTAACCACGCACTTCGCACACAGCACGGTTGGGGCAGTTACTGCATCATGCTTTAGTATTTCCAAAAGGAAGTACTAAAGCACAGCGTCATAGCAACATGGCCGTATGGCAATGTATAAACGCATCCATAGACTCTGTCATTCTATTCAAGGGTGATAAATATTTTGCATGCAATTTCTTCTAGGTGTTTCTCTCCTGAGATAGGATTCTCCTGCTAAAGTTTTACCCTTTGAATTTTGTTTGGGATTGGTTCCTCTCTCCACAAATACATTGAAATTATACTACTTTTCTGGCTGACTGATATGCAAGGCTATTCCATACTTAAACTCTCAGAGATTAATTTCCCTTTTGTAAACCAGGATTCTCTGAAGAGTGACTAGCTATTGACTGGTCTGGGCATTCTTGATGCTTAATTTAGCCATCACTTGGCTATTTCCTGAGAGAGCTAGGTAGCCATGTTAGTCTAAAGTCAGGCAGAAGGCAGGGTAGAGATGAACCTTATAAACAAATGAAATCAGAAATGTGGATTTTATGAGCTTGAGCTCACATCATCAGATGGTTTTGACTATTTCTAATCACACTATAAAATACATTCATATTAAATACCACAGTCAGTGTTGCAAAGTCTCACAAGAAAAAAAGCGGCATTGCCCTTAAAAACAAGCCCAAAACAAGCCAAGCCCATTTCAAAGAGAGGGTGCTTATACAAATTCCGTATCTTTTTGTAGTTCTAGTTTTGCTGCATATAATATTAAATTACACATTTAGCGGCGCTGGAAGGCAGCAGTGGCACCAGCCTCATCCTGGTAGGGAGAGGTTAGTGGGGGAGGCTGTGCTGCAGGCAGGAGCGGGGCAGGCTCATTTGCTGCTGCCTGTGCAGGGAAGTCTATGGTGGTGGTGCTGGGAGGGGTGACTATGGGGGCTATGGGAAATTTTGGGGTGGCTATCGCCCCTCCCAATCCTTCCCTTAGCACCAGTTCTGCTGGCAGGGCCTGCGGCAGAGTGTAGAACTGCTCCACAGCCAGGCTGGGATTTTGTGGCAGTGACAGCATGGTTCGGAGCTGGGGCAGAGCCGTGATCTGCAGCCAGCATGTCCCAGGCAGGGGCATGCAGGCAGCAGATCATGGCTTTGCCTTGGCTCTGGACCACACTGTCACCACTACAAGATCTCATCTGGCTCTGGAGCAGCTCATACACCCAGCCAGTGCTGCTGGGGCCAGTCTCCTTGGAAATCCCAGCCCCATGGTATCATAGTGTGGCTACTGCTGCGGTCTCCATGGAAAACAGCCTCAGCCACTGGGGCAGGGACTGCTGGGAAATGCAGTCTGGCCACCGGCCATATCCACCATTTTGCTGACCCTTGAACTATAACTTTTTTTTGTTTAAGTCACCTATTACCAAAAAACAAAAACAAAATAAGCAACCTCCAAATAAAACAAGCCCAAAAAAACTGCAACCCACGAGACTCAAAAAATTAAAGTGACTTTTTTTACAAAAACATGTCCAATTCCACTTATTATAAGTGGACTCAGCAACTTGACCACAGCTCATACTAACATAAAAGTGATAAAACTGACCATAGTTTATCATTACCTATAAATAGAGATGAAACTGCATTAGTAAATCTAGTTCTAGAAAGTATCTTTGAATGAAACACTGCAACCCTCAAATCAGCCCTGCTTTGCGGGCTTTCATGACACATCCATACTTCCCCCTTGTGTCCTTTCAGTGGCTGAGACTGAACAATGCATTCCAGTTTAAATGGATGTCCTCCTTTTGAGCTGCACTGTTCAGAAACCGTGGTGGTATTTCACAAAGTCTTTGTTTGGTTGATAACAAGTGACAATTATCAATTCTTCACAAACATCTCAGTATTAATTCTACATACTCCTTACTGATCTTGACATTACTAAAATAACTCTATAACATGGTGACTTCACTCAGATGTACACCTTAAAGAACTATCACAACTGCTTCTTGCAGTACAGTTCTAAATTTGATTGCCCAAAGCCTTTTCCACTGAACACATCACATGCCAGTGTCCACACCTGAAAAGGTGTAATGTATTCTCCAGCTTCCTTTTAGCTCATTTTCAACATGTTAAAGGAATGACCAACTACACCGGAATACAGTGGAAAGGCAACACTTACCTGGATTGCTTTTGGAGGTGCGTACTGGTGTGTAGTGGTTTTTGGAGGATGTTCTGACGGGTGTGTTTTCTTTGGGGGAGGTATCTATAGCTGAGATAGTTTCTCTTTCACAGTGTGCTATTGGGATTGGTCCCTGCTGCCTTAAGATGTCAGCTAGAGCCCTGGGAAGAAGAGAGAGAAAATACAACAAGTTCACAAAACAGTTGGAATGACATTCTAAGGTTTAATTAATTTACTTTTCAGTGATTCTATGATCTATGGTGTCTAGATTTGATTTGCTACATAAAATAAAAAAGCAACAGCAAACCATATAGCTTAAAAGCTAAACTGCCTTGGTTACTGAACAAAGTTTAATAAATTCACAGGATAGTAAGGCTATTATTTAGTTTTTCATATGTTCCCATTAATTGATTTAACCCCGAGTTTATGTTATCTCTTCATTACTGTATTTACTGTTGGTGCTATTGCAGTTGAATGTTTTATCAAAGGATAAAACACTGTCTTCATAAAAATGACTGCTCAACAGGTTGGATACCCGGTACAGAAGCAGCATACGCTGCTCCCACAAACTATGCTGACCCTGTCACAATGGTGTGAATTATTTTATTTAACATTCTCAAACCCTGACCCCAGTCCTCAGGGTTGGAAGTGAAGCTCGGTATCTATGCCAGGGGTAGGCAACGTTTTTTGGCCAAAGTGTCGAAAAACACTACAATGCCTACCTTGGAAGGTACCGAAGTGCCGGCATGCCAGAAAAACAAAATGAGGGCAGGGGGTACATGGCAGGATGCCCTGCTTGTGCCCCTTGCCCCTCACCCAAAGCCCCTGCCCCCGCCCCTGCTGCCCTGTGCACCCCATCCAAAGCCCCTGCCCCCCAGCCTGGGCTCTGTGTCTCCCAGCAGCTACCCCAGCTCTGGGTAGGTGCTGGAGCCCGGGCTGCTCCCAGCAGGGCTTGCAGAGTCCCAGCTGCCTGCTGGGAGCAGCCTGGGCTCCCGGCTGGCAGTAGCTACCTAGAGGCGGGACCAGCTGCAGCCGGGAGGCTGCAAACAGCTGTGCCAGGCTCCAGAGCCCAGGCATCAGCTCTGTACTGGCATGTGCATACGTGCCTTGGAGTGGGCGGTGGGGGAGGGGACTGAGGCAGTGCAACTCTGATCTCTCCCCCACTACCAGCACAGAGCTGATGACTGGGGTCTGGAGCCCAGTGCAGCTGTTTGTAGCCAGCCTGGGCTCTGGGAAGCTGCAGCAAGCATTGGGAAGGCTGAAAACAGCTGTGTCAGGCTCCACAGCTCCGGCATCAGCTCCATGCTGGTGGCAACTGTGTGCGGACCTCAGGGCAGGCTGCACTGCCCCGCTGTCCACTCTGAAGTGCGCGCACAGTCACCGCCAGCATGGAGCTGATGCTGGAGCTGTGGAGCCCAGCACAGCTGTTTGCAGCCTTCCCACTGCTTGCTGCAGCAGCCCAGAGCCCAGGCTGGCTACAAACAGCTGTGCTGGGCTCTGAAGCCCAGTCACCAGCTCTGTGCCAGGAGCAGGGGAGAGACCAGGCTTGCAGTGCCTCAGTCCCCTCCCCCACCACCCACTCCAAGGCGCGCGTTCATGTGCCGGTATAGAGCTTATGCCTGGGCTCTGGAGCCCGGCACAGCTGTTTGCAGCCTCCCAGCTGCAGCTGGCCCCAGCTCTGGGTAGCTGCTGTCAGCCGGGAGCCCAGGTTTCTCCCAGCAGACAGCTGGGATGATGCAAGCCCTGCTGGGAGCAGCCCAGGCTCTGTCACTGGCAACAGCTACCCAGAGCTGGGGGCTGGCCATGGCGTGCTGAGCAAAATGGCCTCACATGCCATGCTTGACACACGTGCCAGGGGTTGCTGACCCCCGATCTATGCTAATACTAACCACAGTAGTGTTAGAGTGATACTGAATCATGATGGTTCAGGAATTATGGAGAAGGCAAGGATTTTTCTTGGGGTAATGTTTTTTATTGGGCCAACTGCATAATTTGGAGAGAGTTAGACAAAATTTCAGATGCAAAACATTCTTCTTCAGAGACCTTAGAAGAGACCTGAAGAAGAATGCCGTGCATTTAAAAGCTTGTCTAACTCTATCCCAACTATGCAGTTGGCCCAATAAAATATATCATCCTAAGGAATCCTTGCTTCTAATAAAACCCATGACTTCTCTGCCAAGAGAAGGGAGAATAAGTATTAATCACAGTGGTAGGCTTTTGAAGCAGGACCAATATCCAACAAGAGAGGGGAGGTTGGAACATTTCATGTCTTATAGCTATCACAATGATTAACTTATCAGTAGCAACTTCCCCTTTAGAAATGTCCTTAATGGCATCAAAAGATCAAGAGAGCTCCCCATAAAAATATCTGCGTTCAATGGATATAAAAATTATTTTTCTTTTGCATATATGATATGCACTGTAGAATAATGCTAGAATGAAACACACTGGCCATGTCTACATGAGATGCTGATTGCACAGTCATTCCTGGACAGACATTTAGTACTTGTATAAACAAGTACTACATGACTGCACAGTAACCGGAGTTACTGAGCAGAAGCATTGCCGAACAGTTTTTTCGTGACACTGATTGTGCAGTAACCTGAGATTACTGCACAGTGGCATGGAATCATGCTTTCTGCCATGCAGTGCTACTGCACAGTAATCACAGGCTAATGCACAGTCAGCATCTCATGTAGACATGGCCACTGAGTTTTAATGTGGTGAAAAGCTTTTTGCACAGTCATTCCTGGACAGACATTTAGTACTTGTATAAACAAGTACTACATGACTGCACAGTAACCGGAGTTACTGAGCAGAAGCATTGCCGAACAGTTTTTTCGTGACACTGATTGTGCAGTAACCTGAGATTACTGCACAGTGGCATGGAATCATGCTTTCTGCCATGCAGTGCTACTGCACAGTAATCACAGGCTAATGCACAGTCAGCATCTCATGTAGACATGGCCACTGAGTTTTAATGTGGTGAAAAGCTTTCTCTCAAGTCCCAGGAGAAACAGAGGGAGGGAAGTGAGAATGAGAAAGAGATGGAGAGAGCAGGACTGTTTGGGTTATAAAAAATGGTGGTGTTTTAAGGCTTGTTGGTGTTTTAAGGTTTGACAGTTCCATTCTCTCAGACTGAGGGAACATGCCTAAAATCACCTTAGGTGCTAACAAGAGAAGAAATTTCTTCTTGCATATTCATGAATTTGGTGTTGATGTTCCTCATATCCATTATCTTTACTTAACTGCCTTTTTTTTTTTGTCTTGTTGTTTAGGACCTAAATTCATTCTGTTTTAGAAACCCTTTCCTTTTAAACTATGCTATCCTTGTGCATAATTAAATGCATCAATAATCTGTACTATACGAAAACCTTCATGACCCTGCAGATCACAAAGGATCCTGAGGAGCACTTTAGCCTACCACGCCCTTGTGGCTAAAGGAGCTATTTTATTCCCAATTTTATTACTATTTGTTATTTGGATTACACTGCACTTAAAGGCCCCACCCATGATTAGACTACTCATGATAAGTACAGTACACATACAGTATGACACAGGCAGAAACTGTGGTTTGGGAGGTACAGGTGTGCTTAGTGCAGGGTGGAGGTGGCACTAGTCAGATAATCAGTTACACCTATTCTCTTGGTCTGGCCCATGTTTAATTTCTCAAAAAGTACTGACCACCCAGGAGTCCCACTGACTTAAAGCCCTCATAACTGCTCATCACCTCTTAAAATTAGGCCAGAGGTGTCTCAAATTGGGCATTAAACGTCAATGCATCTCAAATTACAGGCTGCTTTAACAATATGGCTCTCTTTGACCTGCTCAAGATCACACATGTCAGTGGCAGGGCTCCTGGGCCCTGATCTATAAAATGCTGCATGAATCCTCCCTTCAAACAGGATTCAGTTCCCCACTGTGACCCCACACTGTTGCACAAGGCAAAGACATCTTCACCACCACATTATAAATCCTGCAGGCTGGTAGTATGAGCAAGTAAAGCAAACTGTTTCTTTACAAGTACCATCCTAGCAGTCTATGGCAGGGAGAAATTCCAACAAAGAGTTTCCAGGAGGGCTCCAAGTACATATTTTCAAGAAAAGTTAATATTAAATGTCTGTGCTAAGAGCCATTTTTCAATCACAGGGATAATGTTATTTACCTGCCCATGGCAGGTTAGCTCTCCAATAACTCATGAAGGATGCTCTTAATCTTAAGGAGCTAGCACTCAAAGAGATAATGGAAACTGAGGGATAGGGAAGGCCAGTCAAGTATGTATACAGGTCAGTTGTATTCACTGAAAGGACATAGCCAGAGAAGGCAGGAAAGGCATAGTGCAACAAGACCACAAAAAGGAAGCTGGAGTCAGGAAAACCAGTGGAATGGAGAGGGCAAGAGCATGAACACAGGGCATTTTTTGTCTTCTCTTCTCTTTTCTGCTATTGTCAGCTTTCATTTAAAAGAGGGAGACAATACTTGGTGTTCAACAAAGCACTAATAATGTGGCTTTACTATTTCCTAGGTATAAGGTTTGCTTTTACTCATTAAAATAATCAAACCAGTTAAAGTAATATGCTCTGGAGGCATCTGAATAAACACGAAATACCTAATCATCTCAGTCTTCGTCTACCTGAAAACTAGAGCTCTAAACCAACTGTATTCCATAAGTGCAAGCCCACATGACTGGAATATGTTCTGATTTGTGTACAGTTTCTAATAAAGTCAAGAACTGAGGTCACTAATTATTTTTGTAAACACAAATAAAACTTGCAAGCCATGTAAGAAAAAACAGGCCCTAGCTAGAAGAGAGGTTCTTACATGAGGGAAAAAAGTTACCATAAATTTAATCATAAGTGAAAAAGAGATTGAGCATGATAATGACATCTGCTTTTAATTCTGCAGCACCTTAAAACTGTATATTAGCAAAATTGAACATATGAAAAAAGGAAAAGCTTTGGATAGTAAGGCTTCAGAAAATTGGCTTAGTTAAGCAACACTGAAGAAGACACCTGCCAAACAGTGCGCTATCTATTAAAAATGTTTGTCATGAGTGTTTACTGATCTGACTCCTCATTACTTTCTGTGAGGAGGAGGGAAATCTCATAATAACCCCAAAATAGAATGCAATAAAGCAGTGTTATAAATAAAAGCTTTGTGT